GCTTGCTTGTCCTCTGTGAAGCAGGTTGTTCACAAGGGCAGTCTCAGCCAGAAGCTGTGGCCAGGTCCTCCCAGCTCACCGCACCGCATGAGCATGCAGCTTGCACTCCAGATCTGGCATCAAGAGTCTCTCCCACCTCCCACAAAGCGAGATGGGGTCGTCATCAGTTGACTCAGAGTCAGAAGACCCTGATGAATTATTTTCCAGACAAATAAGCAGTTACTAACGAGGCCACATATCTTGGTCAAACTTTGCCTGCTGGTCACACCACTTCAAATATTACAGCAACTCTGAACAGGACCTACCTGAAATAGTTTAGCAGCCCACTCATGTCCCATCAGAAGGTGCATCTCTTGTTCTTACGCAGCTGAGCATTGCCTAGAGGAACAGAGATAGTCTGAGTATTTTGCTATATCTTTGAAGGTACACCTTCATACAACAAAAGTTCCTCTTGTTTAGATATAACTCACTCTTAAAACAGATCAGCACAGGAGCCAGTCCCAGGTTACACACATAAAGCTAAATATTGTGTGTTACCCAAATATCATGCATTACCCATAAAGCTGAATTTCAAATAACTTAGCATGTTTAAAAAATTGCTGCAAGCCAGAGGGACCAAGACTAAAATTCAGTATGAAGTCTCAGGGTAGCACTAGCACCATTTTACAAGTTTATGTAATGATTTTTTTTTTTCCTATGGCAGTCACAAACGTGACAGACTTTGTAGGGATAAAAGGACACAGACCCAAACCCAACAGGCTTAGGAACCTGTCGCACCACACAATGGCCCACTGTGGGGCACCCGCCTGGAACATGGGGATGCTTTGTGTCTCAAGCAAGCACAGAAACCCAGTGGTTTCTGCAGGGCAACTCACAGAAAAAGAACGCACAATCATTTTTCTCTCATTCCTCTTCAATAGAGGGTAGGTTACCAGCAAATGGTGGCCTCCGATAGTTTAAACAGTAGATATGTTCACTCTTAGCAAAGGTGTCTTTGGGGTTAAAAACCCCTGACTGTACACATACTCACCAAACCTCCTTTCAGGGACACATGCATTTCTCCTTGAAGCTGCCTGAGGAACAGGAAGGCCTCTTGTTTGTGCTATGGGATGCAGCTTAGACATTGCTGGCATCTTACTTCAGCCATGCCACCGGAGACCGAGGGGAGGGGAAGGTGCTTGGGCAGGAGAGTCCTTGGGCCCGGGCTCACACAAGGCTGAGAACGAGGCGCAGGACTCGACTTGGCACAGGGCAGCCCACGCCAGCTCTGCGCGGGCATCACTCGGCACAGGGACGAGGGTCACAGCAGCATGTTGCCTCAGAAACATCATTCCAGGTGTCCGAGACTTCCCGTGTCTTCCAGGAGCTCTCGAGGGTAATCACTAACAGTGCAGAGGTTACCCGACTAGTTCTTTAAGCGTGGTGGGGCGAATTTCATCAAGCCCTAATGTCATGAATGCACCTACCCTATCTACATAGTCTTCAGCTATTTATTCTGGCTTGCTCTCTCATCTCATTAAAATTAATGCACAAAGTATCCCTTTTTTTTTTTTTTTTTAAAACCAAAGGAATGAAAGAATATTGCAGACTCCTTGGCATCCCATTGCTTGCTCACCTTTCCCAAGGCAGTAACATATGCATTTCACTTCAGAGTTTCTCTTATTTGTAATATATTTCCATAACTTGTTCTCGATGCCTTTTATGTTCGGTTTTATTTTGCACCGTAACCATTCTCTCATTATCCCTGTACGCTTGTGCTCTTCCTTTTCAAGCC